TGTGTGTGTGTGTGTGTGCGTGTGTGTGTGTGTATGTATGTGTGTGTGTCTGTGTGGGCTTGTCTTTGTCTATGTGTAAAAAAAGAAAGGGAGATGAAGAAAGGCTGTATACATGCTCTGTTGTGGACTGGATCACAAACTGGCCGAGAAAGCTATTTTCTTTTTGTTTTACTTCAATCAATCATAAAACAAATGAGAAATGAAAAGAGTAATGCCCTTCTTACTGCAGCTATGTAATATGTACTCGGCAGGTTCTGAGCTGGTACCTTTTACAATTTTGTTGTTTCTCCTTTAAAATCGCATCCATTCCCGTTCACCATTTCTCCCTTAAAATGGTGATTACTTTCAATTTTATTCTCTTCGTCATAAGCCATGTTGACCTGTCCGTTTGTATCGTCTTGTTCCTTTTCTTTTAGACAACATTTGCAAAAACTGCTGAGTTTGACAAATACGCGGTCATACGGCTCTAGGGACCTTAATGGAGCAGGAATGCCCGATGACTCCCAGTTCCGGAGTCTCCTGGGCAGATATTTTGGCGATTTGTCCTGCAGGATGTTGACGATGATGATACAAATAACTAAGACTACGATGGGGACGCCAACACACACGAGAACTTCCCACCCAGCCAACGAGAGCCCAAAAACAAATAAAGGGGCCAAGAAAAAGATAAAGAATAAATAGACAATAGCAAACCAACGGTACTGATGAACAGTCTGACCCATGAATTTAGCCATATTGATGGGCAGTTTTCTCATAAATGGAGCAGGGTACCACAACAGAAGACCTGATATGTTAAAGAAGAGATGGCACAGCGCGATCTGGAACGAGTCTTTGAAGGTTGAAGGGTCAGAAGTCAAGGACGCTAGAATGCCTGTAACGGTGGTACCGATGTTGGAGCCAAGGGTCAAAGGGAACATCCGCTCCAGGTGAATGGCACCGATGCCGACCAGCGGCGTTAGGGCAGACGTGAAGATGGAGCTGCTCTGTACCAGGATCGTGAGGCCGGCGCCCACCAGAATGACAAAGTAGCCGGTGAAGTACTTGCAGGGGCCAGGGAAATCTGCATTGACCACTCTCTGAAAAGTAATAGACAGTTTTTAACCTCTTTACTGCTATGTGGATGTATGTATTTGTTTGATTTTCAACAGAACTGATACTCTGCTATTTCTTTTACTGGTCTTAAGGGAACGTTTTAGGAGATACAGTTACAGCTTGAGCAGTCTTTCACTCTTGAAATAGGGGAAATATTTTATGGCTTTGTTCAATCTCTTGAATCAGCACGTTATCTTGTCGGTACAAACATTGGTCGAAACGCTGCAGCAATAAAAGGGTTAAAGTTCCTGAATCATGAATTCTGCAAGTCGTATTAACCTATTTTTTCTTGTTTCTTAAGTCGATTATGGAATCATTGTGAAAATTCAGACGAAGAGGGTACGGGTAAGACGTGTTGAATGGGTTTGTTTCTGAACCGACTCAGTTATGAGCTGAGAAAAAATTGAGGTTGCTAAATGATAGGTCGTATAAGTTAAGGAATCACTTTGGAGCTGGTTGGTTCATAACATGTCATGAGAATGATTCTTTTTATTTTCAGAGCTGCAACATCTCTTAAACAAGTGGTCAACAGGTTTTGAAACACACGATATAATATTATAAGATGCTTAAGTTACAAACGTAATATCCATTACATTATATGCTCAACTGAAAGCTGTTCTCTTCAGTGCTTCGAAAGTGCGATGCATACATCAAATCAGTCAGTTTACCAATTAATACCCTTTAAATTTGAAATGATAATTAACCATAACAATGAGTCGGTCAGAAGATGAGTGTGGCATACTATAAAGCAGTTTGAGCATACATCTAATAATCTGCAAATTGAAAGACTCTGTAACGTGAGTTTGATTTGGGTTGTCGCTTACGTTTTGGTTGACACACATGATTATGATTGGCAGTAACATTCCTTTCCATCCCCTGTGGTATTTTGTGGATTACATTTGTTTTGGTTTAAAGAACAAAAAGGCAAGAGTAGAACTAAGTGCAGGCCATCGGAGTGGATAGAGAAAATACATTTTAAGTACTTTGTGGACTCCCGGTTTGAGATGATACACTTAGCTTGAGCGGAGGTCAAGGACTGCGAGAAGAGGTTTTTTTAGGGTGGTGTGAGGGAGGGAGGGATTATAGCAGGAACTCTATGTGGACTCTGGACAGAGAATGGAAACATAGAAGTGGAGCAAGAAAGTGTTCGAATGAGTATATAGAGACAGTGTATGTGTGGGGGGGGGGGGGGGGAGGGGGGAGATTGGAGTTGGCAGCACTGACAGAAAGATAACGTAGGTATGCAGAACTGCAAGAAAAGAAAAAAAAAGTAGCCTGAGTGGGAAACGTTTTTCACGAGCAGTTACTCATTCGTTAATGGGCAACAATCCGCCCCTGCCTTCCTCCCTCCCTGTCGCCCCAAACATCCCAACCCCCCCCCCCCCCAGACACACACACACACACACACACACACACACACACACACACACACACACACACATACACACACACAAACACACATAGGGAGAAGGGGACAACATAAAAATCAAATTTAAAAAATTATCAAAACTAGAAACGACCACGCTCCAACGACAGCAACAAGAGAAAAGCCTGTAAATAATACAAAACAGACAGAGAGCCTATGAAACAATAACAAAAAAATGTACCCAACAACGATAAAGATAAAACGTTTACCTGTATGACTTTAGCTATTGTGCCTTTCAGGAGGGAACTCAGGATCTTGACGACACAGATCAGGCACAGGCAGAGAAGCGCAAGGGAGACAACTAGAAGAATTGCTCCTGCCTCCGCGTCGGTTCCCTCCCAGTCTGAGAACAGATGATCTCCTGAAGAAAGTAAGAAAAAGTTACATCACCCCACAGTCATAGCAACCCAGTTCCAATTCCAACAGCTTCACAACAGAACTTGCCCTCAACAACAACAACAACAACAACAACAACAACAACAACAACAACAACAACAACAACAAAGAAAAAAGAGAGGAAAATCTTTATGATACTTGAACATGATTTTCCTCTCTTTTTTCTTTAGATTTTCCTATTTCGAAAAGCGTTTATTAAGCTGACTTAATTCGAAATGGGAGTGAACATGGAAGCCAAATACCTCCCCCCCCCTTGTTTTTTAAAAAAATCTTTCCTCCGCTCTCTCAGCAATCCCCGGGGCGCTTTGTTTTTTTTTCCCCGGCAGAAATTAAATAGCAAACCAATACAGAAAAAAGGTATTGCAAGCTCTGCCCCCCCCCCCCCCCCACATTAGGTTTTTGTTGTTGTTGTTGTTGTTGTTGTTTTTGGTTAGTCTCGAGCCATTAGAATCTATTGCATATTGCAGATAACGGAGGGGGGGGGGGGGGGGGGTGATAATCTAATTTTAAACTCATACTTTTGCAGTATACGTTGTAACCCTGTATTGCTATGACTATGAATCGAATATAGCAGCACATACTGTGTTTTTAAAGCTTCTTTAGAATCAGTATAAAACGAGTACACAGTCCTCTGCATATCGGACCAACGTATCATGAAAGAAACACTTCCACTTCCATCAATGTTACCAGTCTCTTGTAATCAGCAAGGAAACGTACTGACCTGATTTAATTAAGCTTCCATTGAAGTCAACACCTTTTGCGATGAGTTCCAATTTGCTAGAAGACAACTGAGAGAAAGACAAAAGCAAGAGATTCAGAATAAAGGATACTTTTCGGTTTGAGGAAATACTTTCAGCAGCAGTATTAACGGTAGGCATATAACCGTTTTAGTAATCAAAGATGTAGACTACTTCGTTGTTGAATCAGAGAAAATAAGCTCAATATAAACAATTTGTAAATCAATTAAGTAGTCACCTGGTTATTAGTGAGGGCATTGACTAATGAGGTGGACTAAAACGTCTTCTTGTTCCGAAAATGGTCCCCCCACTTACATTTGGCATGGCATGATATTGGTATGCTCTTTTCAACACAAAAAATTCTTTAAACGTCTCTAGTAGGATCAAATCAAGAAGGCATGGAGCCTTGAAAACTGTCCGTATAACCGAAATTAAATATGCCCTACAAAGGATTCTAACAGTGGCAAGCTGTCCAGCAGGGTACCAACTGAGCTAACGAGTATCCCACCTACATCAAATATTGAGCTTAAAGTTCACTAGTAAATCTTCGAAAAGGTTACGGGTTCATAGGGCGCTTTTGAATCTGTCTGCTTAGGGTTTTAAAACCCTCTTTCTTATAGCCTACCAATGATGAACTACAACTCGGAGATTTAAAATCTTTATTCACCTCACTTCTGTCAAAAGACGTGAGAAAACAAAGGTTGAACAATACACTCACATCGATGACTGTCTTCGTGAAGGGCTCTGTGATGGCTTTCAGAAGTTTAGGATTGGTTGAGCTGGAGTCGGACACATTGTAGGTAAGGTCACTGGTGATGACGTCAGTCAGCCGGTACAGGTATCCGCTGGCTACCTCAATCGGCAGGAAGACGATCACACACAGCCAGTTGAACATATCGTGCACGGTGGCCGCGGCAAACGCTCGTCTGAGGAGGAAACAATACGTGGCAATTACAAGGTTTCATTTCCCGATGTAATTGTTTGATAGTTCAAGCTTCGTTGGAGCAAATTGCATAAATTTGCCAAAAGTTTTCAGCCGACCAGGGTATAGGGAGTCTTAAAAAAAAGGACCCACTTAAAGGGCAATAACTCGATCATCTCTGCTCCAATTTCAACAAAACTTTACCCACAAAAAACAACAACAAACAAACTATGAAGACATCAAGTCTGTTAATATGAAGAAAATCAATCAAAGTGTTCGAGACATATCAAGTTTTAAAAATTTCAACCAAAATTGTGTAAAACGCAAATTTTGACTTCTTAAAAGCATTCAACTACAGGGGGGGGGTCGTCACATTCTAGTTCCAGGACAAGGGCGGAAAAAACCCAGCAGTCACATCAGATGTATATCTCACGGCGCTGAGAAAGTTTTGTAGCAGCTTGGGGAGAAAGTGTTATGCTGTAGAAGCCTGGTTCCAGTAAGATGGGTCATGAGTGGCCCTTATGTAGTTATAAGAAGGGCTTAGGGAACGCCGTATTAACAGTTTACAAAAGAATGGTTACCACAGTTTTCCTAACTTGAGCCCTTTCAATTATTACGTTTGGTTTTTTTAAGGACAGAGTCTATGGAAACAACCCACAACCAACCGAACAGTGAAGATTCAATGTTGAACATGACCTCCAAAGATTACCCAGAAACACGCTACGGGGCCGTTCAAAATTCCCAGTAACATACTGAAGCTTGTAGCGAGAGAAGTGGTACACACCTGGAGATTTAAATACCCCCCCCCCCTCCCCCATGAGTATTTTTGACAATATTAATTTTGTATGAATGTATTCTTCTCTGCACAGATAGTGACTATATGGAAATGGAACAATAATAAGGTTGATTTTTAAGAAGTTGCAAAGTTTTGCGATTCAATCATTTTCGGCTGAAATTGTAAAAACTTGATATTTTTTAACACCTTGCTTGATTTTCTTCATAATTACGTATATCATGTCCTCATACTTGAATTTTGTTTGTTCAAAGTTTTGTTAACATTGTTTAAAAGATGACCGAGTTATTGCCCTTTTAATGGTTCCTCTTTTTATAGACAACATGTATTTGCCAAGTCTTTTGACCAGCTCCACCCTACACCTTATCGCTATTCTTGAGTAGAAATGAGAGTGAGACCGGAAGTCAAATAATGCAATCATATCACAAAACCCGCGTCAGTGGTAGAGCTCTTCGCTGTTTCACGCTGGAGACCGAGGAGATTTTATCCAGTATTTCTGTCTGTCGAAGCAGCCCGTCTTCTAAATAATCTGAATAATCTGTAAATTCCCCATTCCTCATCAATGGGTGCAAAAAATATGTGCAATAATTTACGACCTCTGGTCTAGAATACAAACAAGAAAACCAAATTTCCTAAATCTGACGAACACAATCATCCCGCAAGCCCTTTCTAGCGTGGACGATAGTCTTGCCTTCAAGTCTACCTTTTTGTTGGAGAGAAAAGACCAGAGGTAAGTATCTTTCTTTTCTTTCTGAAGCGCTTGGTTCCATCCTGGGTTGTGCAGACAAGGCCAGAAAAAATACTTCTTTTAAAATTTGGTAATATCAAATTTTCCCCATTCCTCAGAAATTATGAAAGTCAAGGGGCTCAAGTGCATGGTTTGCTCCACCACTGGGCACGGACAGGAACAAAGAAACGAGAGGTCGTGTGGCTACTCTTGGTTTTCTAACAGTGCGCAACTGTACAGTAACAGTTGACAATCGAAGAAGTTTAAATTAATTCTTATTTAATTTTGATTGATTTTTTTAATAGTAAATGTCTTTCAACCCCATTGACACAATGTAAATCATTAAAAAAAGAGTGGCGAGGGTCACTTCCACTCTGCCTGTCAGAGCCATCAGGGCTGAATAGGTGAATGAGATACAAACCACCCACAGGCAGGTCCTGGTGTGAGGATACTCGATATTATGTAATAACTTCCTCGTGCAGGGATCGAACTCAGGTCTTCATGGCGGAACTAAAAAAATCCTAACTACTGCACTGAAAAGACTGGTGGGCGACCCTAGTTTTGCCTAAAGTATAAACTCTTGCCCTTACGAAAAGTTTTTAAAAACCCACATTTTGCGGATTAAAAAAAATAACGGCTGCTTAAAATGCAGAGAACTTTAATACAATATGATATAAATGAACATAACCAGCTGTTTCACTGCGGGTTGAAAGCTACGTCTGAGAACTAGACCTGTCATCATCATCATCAAATGGCAGTCCTGCGACAGACATCGGCAATCATGGTTCTCCATTCATTCCTCTGCTTTGATGCTCTAAAAAAACCAAAACAACTTCATTATTGATCTTTTCGCGTTACCCATCTGTTTAGGCACTCCACGTAGGTTGTTCTGGGTCTACCCCTGCCTTGTTTGCCTTCAATTTTGCCAGTGACAGCTGATGTTCCAGGCCTTTATGTATATATTCAAGTGTCGTGTATCCTGGAAAACGAACTGTTGTAAACGGACATACCTGAAATCTCCCTTATCTTTCATCTGGCCCATAGACACGAGGGTGTTGGTAACTGTGGTGCCGATGTTCGCTCCCATAGCGATCGGAATAGCCAGACGTACTGACAGAACTAGAAAAAAAGATCCGAGCGATATAATGTTATAGTCTTTACAGAAATGCCAGATGGGTTCTGTTCTATCTAGGGAGATAAAAGTAACATCGTAAACAAAGAGAAATAGAACACAACCAGACAACTACATGTAGTAGCTTTTCAATGAAAATGAGTAGATAAAGAAGGAGGAGGAGGAGGAGGAGGAGGAGGAGGGGGAGGTGGTGGTGGTGGTGGTGGTCGTAGTGGAGATGGTGATAGAAGAGGAGGAGGAGAAGCAGGGTAAGAAAAACAACAACTAGATTCTACTCTTATGAAAGCAGGGAAATCAACGTCGATAAGTCCTGCTACAACAAAAACGATAACCACAATATTAAACTGCCAAATCCTTAAAAACAGTTCTATTATCTAAAGCAAAAGCATTAACAATGCTATTTTAGGGTGTGTTCGGTTTAACTAGATTGTATTACTATTAAGGATTATGCGATGACATTTCTTAATCGCCTCTAAAATTGTGCTGGGTACTCCCCTTCCCCCATTTCTGCCCCAACCAACTCATGCAAACGCTCGTTTTAAAAAAAAATGGTATCAGTAACATGGTTACCATAATACATAGCTAAAAAAGTTACCAAAACATTATGACAGTCACGAAAATATCAACAATTGTTCGTTTGAGTTTTGTTTGAATAAAAAGAAGCACATCGACCCAATAAAGGTCTTTTAGTATTGGAAAAAGTAAGATGGACAGACAGAAACACTAGAGGAGAAATAAAGAAGTGGGCACCCTACAACCACCCGCTCAACAATATTGTAGCATGTTTTGCAATTCAAACACATCGCAACACGAAATACCACGGTAAAAGCTGCACAGGTCATGGAATGTCATTGAGAAAAAGAGTTGACCGACTCACTTCTCGCAGAGACCATGGAGACGATGATGGAGGTGGAGGTGGAAGAGCTCTGCACGAGTACCGTGGCCAGGACCCCCACCATGAGCCC